GTTCAGCAAGCGGTGAAAAACGATGGCCTGGAAGAGGAAAAGAAGGAAAATCGCTCGCTAGGAACGATCATCATGGAGAGGCTGACCGAGAATCAGTCCGAGGATAAGACCAACGTCGAAGCTGTTAAAGAAGACTGCAAAGAGTTCGTTCCTGAGAACGCGGAACTCCGGAATGTATGCAGAGACCTGCTGAATGACCTGTTGAGCGGCATCAATCAACTGATCGACGAGAACAGTCAGAGCAAAGAGGAAACGAGGATGTTGGACAGTTCTACGGAGGAACCTAAAGATACCAGAACTCAGGACTTCTCCATGACGAGTCTGCACTGCAGTCTGCCCTTGGACAAAGTGGCTTCTGTATTGCAGAATTGTCAGACGAGCGAACTGACTGCGCCCCAGTCGCCTTCTTCGTCGTCTTCTTCCTCCCAGGGTTCGAAGTCTCCCTGTAAACCACCTTCACCCACTGTCAGGCACCTCTGCTTGTACTGTGATCGCAAGTTCATGTCGATATCTCTGAGGCAACGACACACCGAAAGGGTTCATCAGCAGGGCGGTGGCAGGAGATCGGAGAGGAACTCGAGGAAACCGTTACAGAACTGTCAGTATTGCTCCGACAAATGCGCAGAGAGCTTGGAGGGCCTGTTCCAGCACATGGTTGGCAGCCATGGGGACAAGTACCACGCCTGCCTGCAGTGCGCTACCAGGTACCTCACCAGGGAGGCTCTGGCGGGGCACATGAGCGAGAATCATGGCGTCAATGTGGAGAGGAACTTTCAGATTCAGGTACGATCGAGTCCTGAAGTCACCAGTAGCAGTTTTTATCCATTTTCTAATGTTTTGCCTCTCCAATGGACTAAATCCTCAATTTTTTTCAATTATAAAGGTCCCTACAATTTTTGTAGTTTCTTTCGCAGGAGAAGATGAAGGAACCTTCCCCTTGCAAGGAACTAGGCAACCAAAGTCCCCGTGAGAGAGCAGACCCCCCAAGCTCCAAAGAGAGGAGACCTGAGGACACTGACCACGAACACCGAGCGGAGACCATCCTGCTATCCAGCGAAGGACAACTTCAGTAACCCGGGCAGCCCTGAGTTCGACAGCTCTTTCTACAGCAGCGTGAGCTGTAATATCCGAGAGAACCTGCTTCATCATCTGGATGGTAAACTGCAGAGCTCGTCGTCGACCGTCACGTCCAGCAGCTCGTCGATAGTGGACGCGAAACCTCAGCAGCAACCTCAACAACAACAGCAGCAGCAATCTTTCTACGAGCACAACGTCAACCAAATCCAGTTCCCCATAGACATTTCGTTAACAGCCGCAACTCCGGTTTATTCTAAGGACTACGGTAACGAGGAGTACGAGAACAATAGCGAATACGCGCAGAAACCTGGCAAGAGTAACAGATCCCATCATAGAAGAGTGTCCTTCGAGAAGTACAACTTTCCCAGGAAGTATGACGGGAAGGAGCAATGGACTTGCTCTATAAAGGACCTTAGTAAGTTCGATATCTCTACCCAATTGTCCCTGAGGAAGAAGCAGCAGCTGCTGAAGGAGCATCTTAGTCTAAACAGGCTGCATCAGATCACTCTGCTCGAAGCTTCCGAGATTGTTCAAGACGAGCAGAATCTTAGCTCGAGAAATCTCGACGAGTCTGGAAACACGAATGAGCCTTCGCTTGTCGCAAACAGCCCAGACGTTGACCAGACGTCCGGCTGTGAGGCTCCCAAGTTAACCGAGAAGAAGGTTGATAGTTGCGAAGCAAAGTCACATCAGGCTGCCGACTTCACTTTCGAGTTTGGCAACTTCCTCAGGCTGAGGAAATGGGACGAGAATACGTCGATGGAGGCAGCCAAGAAACAGGAAGTTATTTACGCCGAGCTGACTGGAGAGTGGTCCAGGCCGAGGGTTTACATCTGCGGCGCCTGCGCCTCCAAACATGTGAGTTTTCAATGGGAATGTTTGAACGGTGAATGGGGCTATTTCAGGTTGGTTATTGGAATAATAAATGATCCCGTTAGGTTGCTCACTATTTTCGGACACGTGTTCTGAGTCATACCTGGAAGAGGTTGCTTCCAATCAACTTTCGAACAGCGATAACGAAATGTCCGATCGAAAAACTGATAACATAAGTTACCAAGGAGGTATCCAATGACCTTGTAAGATCTCATGTCATCATAAGATCTCGTGCTGATCTGTCACACCTTTACGCTACAACCTTTCATCTGCCTGACATAATTGGTCTCGTGTCACGATTCGTTTTTAGATCCAAAGGAAGGAGTCTTTAAGCAGCAATTTCCTTTATACACACCACTCACAAGGAGACTGCAAGGCCTTCCAGTCACCGATTTGGTTCAAATTTTGTGGGATGGTAGATTGTAGGATGGTAGATTGCAGGATAATAGATGATAGTAGGATGGTAGAGTTAGTTCTCCTGATGGTGAAGGTATACAATTATAGATGCCACTACTCAATAATTTCTAAGATATTTGCAATTGAAGATTTGTCGTAGGTTTAATTCAATTCTGTTTAGAGAGGTTACCATGTAATGGGTTACCATGGTTACTATGGTTTGGTGTAGTGGCAGTGGGTTCAACACCAGGGATGAAAATAATCTTTTTTATTTTGTATAAATTTTTTACATATATTTATTACTTATATTTCGTATTACTATACATATTTTTATATTATTTATTATTTCTATTTTACATTATTGTACATATTATTATATTATTCATTGTTACTTATTATTTTGTAATAAACATTTTTCAATATTCTTTTGAATGATAATAGCAAACCAAATTTTTGTGAGATATCTAGTAAATGGAGACATTCTATATCCAATTTATTTAAACTCCATTGTGTATCTTTATATGTAAAACATTCATACAAAATAGAAAAGAATTAAAAGAAAAAGATTATCCCCATCCTCCACAGAATTGCACCCGGGCCCTATTGCATTGGAATACTAGACCCTTTGGTACTACACCAAACCATGGTAACCCATAACCTCTGTAAGCAGAATTGAATTAAACCTACGATAAATCTTCAATTGCAAATATCTTAAAAATTATCGAATAGTAGCACTTATAATCGATACCTTCACCATCAGGGGACCATCCTACAAACTTTGAACCAAATCGGTATTTCGATGGTCTTGCAATCTCCTTGTCGGTTTCCAATAAAATTCGACCCCGTTCGATGCAGGTTTTGGAAAAGGTCCTTTCGCAAAGGGAAATTCGTTCAAGACAATTGATCCTATCAACATGGCTGACGTTCACGAGCGATTAGCTAATTAATCAGCCTACCTGATTAGTAACTATCGATCGGATTGCAACCCAGTTGAAAGGACATCTCTTCATGTTGATTGACAATTAGTTGTCGTCGAACGAATCTCTATTGGTCATCCTGCGATATTACTGCCGATCCCGAGTTCGATCGTAATAATCGTGCACGCTGATCGTTATTACCGACTGAGCTAATTAGGACGCTTGCTTCGCGAAGTTGATCCTCGAACTTCGGATAGGTGTTGAAATTAACGAGACTCCTCCTTGTGACTCAGGACATCATAATTGCGAGAGACGATTAGCTGTAATGGCAGTTGTTCGGCTGGATTAGAGTGCCGTTTTTCATTAGATTCCGCGACACGAAGGAAAGTATTGTATAGCGAATATGTAACTGAAACGAAAAGTGAATCAAGCCTATAAGAAAATAGTATTATAATAATAATAATAATAATATATATATGTGATATTAATTACGTTAATTAATTTATTTCGAATAGATATTTCTGTTCGTTATGTAACTAGATGAAACTTGTTAATTTTTTCTAAAATTGTCTTGTATTGTTAATATCTTCTTCTTCCTTAATTTTCTGATATTTGTGCAAAAATATTTCATTACCTATTTTAATTTTAATTTTATCTATAGAAATTGCTGATTCTACTTTTCTTGAACGATAGATTTCTGTGTAGGCAGATTATTTATTATAGTTTTATTAACCTTTTATGGCGTACGCGTTTCGACAGTCCCAAATTACAAGTGACCTATGCCAAATTTTTCTGGTTTGTTCTTTCTACTTTCATACATTACATAAACTTACACAATACACCCCAATCATGACACGCATACTCATTTATCATGATAACCTGAATCCATTAGATATTAGCACCATATGCATACTTGTCTTACAGACATCGCTCCTTTATTATATCAACACATACAGGGTGTGCCAAGAAACGTATACACACTTTAATACCTTATTCTTCCTAATTTATTTTCTCTTTTTTAAGTACAACCCATTTAAAATAATGGCTAATTTTAGACTAGACTTTGAAAAATGTAAATATATTTTAAAGTGCTACCATAACTGTGAAAACATACTGGGAACATACTTTTTATAATCACGCAAAGTGCGTATACATTTTTTGGGGACACCCTGCATATGTTCAAAATCAATGTTAACCATTACCACACTGCGAGTTACGACTGTCGCTTATCACCGAGCGCGGAATAATCCGCGAGCTGACTTTTTTTCCATTACCAGTTGCTGAATATTCTTCATATGCCACAGATCACGTTTGATCCCTTCTGTGAGCATCTCACCTATATCAATTCGTTATATTCTTAACAAGTTTTACTTTTGTTTCGAAAATCTTTTTAACACGTTAAGTCCCACTCCGGTCCTCAGGGACCGGCCCAGACTAGGACCAAAAGGTGTCTTTTGATATGACGAAGATGATATAAGTTTGCTGAAATTAATCGTGACCAATCTTTGTCATTTTAGTTGACTCTGAAGGAAATGGAGGACCACAAGGTGATCACGCATCCGAACGTCTGGTGCTCGCATTTCGAGTTCTCCGGTGACCAGAGGGAGCTCTACAAACACCTGTTTCTACCGGGAAAGGACATGCCCACAGCGAAAGCGAAGTCGGCCATCTTGGTGGAGAAGGTGTGCACCAAGTGTTCCAAGAATTGCAGCACTCTGTCAGAGTTGCACAGGCATATGCTAGAGTGCGGGGGAGACCAGGCCTGGTTGTTAGGACTATTTGGAAATGGGAAGAAGAAGTGCAAGTGGAGACCGTTTGGCAGTCGCAGTAGAAGGCGAAGGCAGCGTGGTATGAAGAGGAACATCCAGAATTCGCAAACTCCGAGGGTGAACACCCCCAAAGAGAAGCAACCCACGGGGCCGAGAGTCAGGCCTAGTGACAGTAAGTGACTTTCGTCCAATATTTTCCTCATTTTTAATCAATCACTGAAACATTGATCATTTTTGTCTCCATTTTCAGTTGTTATTTTCCAAAGTGTCGTTTTAATTTTCCTTATTTCATATAGATTTTCGAAATTTGTTTGGATTATTTGTCATCAGGTGTGTTTTGTTTTCTGCCAATCCTCCTCAGGTATCTTGCATTATAAATTTTGGCAGACAAGATTAGAAATTTCAAGATCACGAAATCCCACTTGACGTCTCGTGTCTGCAGGAATATTTTCACGTAAATATTTCCCGCGGGAAGGGAATTATTTTCGTCGCACACACGCGTCGTCTCCGCAGCACAAGCACGCCTAATCAATGAAGGAATTTGTGTAATTAACACCTGCACGAAGTTCTGATTAAGCCATTATCTTGTAACAATGAATGTATCTTGTTGCTTATAATTTAGCCATGCTTTTTATGAAATTTAATATCCTGTGAAATATAAATTTTAATGAGCCTTTATTACGGCGTGGATGTTGCAGGTGTCTAGAGACCATAACCGAGCACACTCGTGCTGTTATCGTTAAATCGATCGATTATTTTTATACAAAAATACCCGCTTTGGCTAAAATTATTGTATATTTTTAATTACCATCGTTGTTTATTTAATTTACACGGAGATGGAGCGAGTATGAGAGAGCGAGAGAGGAGAGGGAATCACGGGAGTTGCGGTGCAACTGGGATCGCTCTTGGCAAAATTTTTCTCCACGAGGAAGACGTTTTCGGCGTTAGAACGTGTTCTGGAAGTGGATAAAAAGGGGAAGATAAATAGGAACACACGAGGTCCCAGAAATTTGCGAAAACCGCGTTAGAGCGAGCGCTTAATTGCAGCATTAATTAAAACTTTGTTTCATTTAGTTGAATCACTTATCCGATAACTTCCCTTTGCAATAATTACGAGCGCCATTGGCGAGGTATGATAACTCGAAACTTATTAATCATACCTCGATTAATATTAACGTACCTCCACCACCTGTGTGTGTGTGTGTGTGTGCGCGCGCGCGGGTGCCGTTGTCGGTGTACTCGAGGAAGAAACGGTACTTGCTTCGGTTTGCGCGTTAAAATTATGGCAGCTTATATTTCTGGACAAACGAACGTTGCACGAATGGTTAATCGTCGGAGCATTATACCAGATAGCATTATGACACGTCCATTGGCTGAAACTGTATATTCAACGAGTTATTGTTAAAGTAAATTACATCTGTGAATTATTAACGGTGCGATTTTTATGAAACTTTCATGAAATGCCGTGTTCCCCTTCTCTGTGTAGGCTGGTTGGCAGGGCCTTTGGTAAATTTGAAATTTTCATCGGCGCTACATAATTACACGGTCCGTCTTCTCTGTTCGCAGGAGAGAGCATACAAAAGATGCTGGCCAATTTACCTCCCAAGAGGGCTACCAGGAAGGTATTGCAGGATAATACACTGAGGACACAGGGTAGACTACGTACCGTAAGTGTTGAATATTTCAGCAATTCTATTAACTTCGTTCTAGATGTTCAGTTTTGGTGTTCCTGTGTTTTAATGTCAAATAACACCGAAATGGTCACCCAAGTGCTACTGATACTAAACAGAATTAACTTACGAAGTCGTAAACGTTGACACGGTCCAGGAGTGAGAACAAAATCCAGAAATCCCGCTGGAGTTATCGAATAGAGAAGAAATAGCATCTTCGTTAGTTCAATTATAAGAGGACACCCGTTATTATGAAAATCGAATTACTCCAGTTAACGGTTAATCGTTGCAAGTGTCTAGGATAATTCTCTGTTTCCATATCGAGTTCTGGTATTTAACGTTATCGAGGGAAAGGAGCCAAACGTACCCGACGTGCCACACTCGTAGCCAAGCTGTGCATCTGTGCGATATTCTGCACGAAAAGAAATTCTTAAAACGTGAAATTTACGCGAAAGGGAAGAGTTAAAACTGTCAAGTCGAAGTGTACGAGTTAATTGCTGAGAGCACGTGCACGTGAAAGCGGCCAGAAATCATGCAACAGGCCCAAGGACTTGCTAACCATGAGAGAAGCAGCTCTGTCCAAGACTCTTGAACCGGAGGACAATCCGTAGAAATACATTTACAATGCTGTTTGCCAAGATGCCAGCGAGACAAAAGCGCACGACGACCCAAAAAAAGCACGCGTGTCTAGCGGCTGGCTGGAATTAGGTAAACGAGCAGTTCGCAAACAGCTGCAGTTAGCAGATGACCCGAATCCTGTGGACGAAAAAGATGAAACTCGATAATGATAAGGCAATAACACTGTGACCGGCTCCGGCTGGACGACACGGATATAAGTGGAGTATTGATTACTCAACACTGCTGTCCACACGTGCACACACGAACCAAACACACACGTAGGGAGGATACGCTATGTGGTGACACGAGCAAGGTGGTTTTCGTGTTCTTTTAGCAAACTGGCACGATTCAGCCGGCGATGGACGTTCCCTGACACACTTGACCAAGCAAACCCTCTGCTATTCGGAAATTCGACTAGTCAAATTCGAATCGATTAGGCGTGGAAACTTGAGAAATTCTTAGGATTAATTTTACCTGATAGAGAAGACTCTTAAAGCTCGGTTCCTCTGGCATGGAAGTATGGCATTCAGGGGAATTTGAAATTAAATGTATTTACAGGCTAGAAGTTAGGTTCTTTTAAGGGTTCCAAATAAAAGTTCGTTTGTTCTTTCACTGAGAGAAGAATCTTGAAATTCCTTAAAGTTAGGATTAGAGTTAGGGCCTAAAGAGATGAGCGTAGGACTCAGTAAGCACGTAAGCATCTTTTCCGAGCACAAATTAGGAACCCCTGCGTGAGATCGTAAGAATTAATCGCATAAGTCTTCACTCGAACACCATAACGCGTTTCTCAGAGAAACGAACGGTAACCGTGGCACCAAATTTGGTAATTTTGATCAAAAACTTCTCAAGCTTCTACAGCGACTGCGGTACATGTACTCACAGAGGCAGACACAGTACCACGAAGGCTTTGCCTGTCTGTACAGGTGCAAACCAGAACGAGACCGCGAATGGTCGGTGACAATTCCAGCGCCTCGCGAATGTCCAGGAATAAAGCTGCCCTGAGGAATAAGCTGCTGAAGAACGCGAAGTCGATTCAGCGGAATCGTTGTCGAATCGATAACATCTCAGCCGTGATCGAGAGCGTGGTAAGGAACTACAGTTTGGATGAGAAGAAGCCCGACGAAGAGAAGAACGGGAATGGAGAAAAGACCGAGGTTGAAAAAGAGACCAAAGAGAAGCCGATGGAAAAATGCTACTCCGTTAAAGAAGACGGTACACCGGACGAAAGAGGTAACAGAACAAAGATGGCGAGGGCGCCCAGAGTGCTGGGGAAAAAGAGAAATCTCAAGACGAAGTACGGCACTATGAAGAGTTTGGATCAAGCGAAGAAAACGGGTATCCTAAAGGTTAAGGCTAGGGCAGCGTTGAAGAATCTTCCGGAGACAAAGGCAGAGGCGTCCAGCGAAGGCACGAGGGCGTTGAAAGGGATGAAAACTCCGCCGAAAAGCGTGGAGAAGGAAGCAGAGGTGGATGGAACAGAAGCTAGTCCAGGGGAAGCGAAATCCCCCAGTTTGTCTGCGAAGAACAAATCAACCACTCAAACCACCCCTAAAAGGAAGCGGCCAGTGGATCCCGTTGCCTCCTTCAACGCTTCCCTCAAGGCCAAGTCCCAGCTGAGGACGCAGGATGGAAAGTTCGCCAGGAACCCTAACAAGGAGCCACTGTCCCCCCTGAAATGTCCCGAGCCCCGGTGCCCCAAGGTCAGGAGCAATGAAACTAGTCCAGAGCCGTCTTTCACCAGGTCCAAGCTGAGGGCCATTTCCAAGTGCAAGAACGGCGATCAGCTGCCGAAAAGGACCACCAGGCTGTCCTCCGACAGCGACAAGATGCCCACGTTGGAGCCCGCTGTTCAGATGACCTCCAGTACCGAGGAATTCCCCGAGACCACCAACGACCTGCCAATCCTGTCCCCAGCCACGTCAGGCGCCGGTCCGGAAAAGATGCTGCGTGGCAAAAGCCTGGTCAGCAAGTGTCTGAACCTGGACGACAAAAACAGCCCGAAGAAGGAGGAGAACCGAGAACCGGAGGCGCAAAGCGAAGCTGGTAGCAGCGTGCAGCAGGATGACAGGGATCAGAAGCCTGGCAAAGGCAGGCGATCGAAAAGCGACTCGAAGAATTTCGATAAAAACGCAGAAAATGTGGTTACAAAGACTGATGCCCCTAAAGAAGGAGCTAAAGGAGTGGTTAAGGAGAAATTCAAGAGAAAAAGTGTACCTGCGAGAATGTTAAACGTCGAAGAGAAGAGAGGCACGCTGAAGAGCCCAGAAGAGGCGTGTGCGAGGAAAGACGCGAGGCAGAAGAAGGAAGAGGGAAAGTTGGAGACCAGGAGCAACGCTAAGACAAAGCTGGAGAGAATATTGGACGATGACGGTCCAATAAAGATCCAGAACGTGCCGTTCGAGGTGAAGAAGCTGATAGGATCGGATAGCAGGGACGAGCTGCTAACTAAGTTGGTCCTCACTTCCAGGGGCAGTACTTCCAGGCGGTGTCTCAGGCAGCCTGTGCCTAGATTCGCGTTCGAGCAGAGCAAGGGTAAACTGCGGAGGGATCTGGAGACGGAGAAGGGGAAACAGGACTCGGGATTGATACCTGAGGTCTCCTCGAAGAAGAAGTTCGATGCTAGGAGGAAGTCGCTGAGAAACACGTATAAGAAGGACAGGCTGGCGTCGAAGGATGACAAGGTGGTGCTGATGGAGACGAACAAGATCAGAGATGCTGTGAACGAGGTGAAAACGGCAGTCAGGGGACGGAGGAGCAGTAGTCAGTGCAGTGAGAGTAAATCGGTGACCAGTTCCAATCAGGTGTCATCGTCGGATGGTCAGACCAAGTCGGAGACCGAGCTGACAGCTCAGAATACCGACAAGAGGCAGACCAGGGGTTCGTTGTTGAACTCCACCGAGGAGGAGACTCAGAACGAGCCTGCTGAGGTGACCTTGAAGAAGAACACGCTTGGGAAGAGACGCGGCAGAATCAAATCCAGCAACGACACGGTTGACAAGAAGAACACCGAGGTGACCCAGGCAAAGGGCGAGGAAGCCGAGAAAAATAACTGCAACGAGCTGGTCGATAAGGCTAAATCGGTGGATCAGAGCGAAGCGAGCTGCGATGACAAAGGAGACGCGTCAGCGGGAGAAATTAGAGACGAGAGACAAGGAGGAAGCGAGAAGGTGTCAAAGAGCGAGAAAGAGCAGCACAAAACTGATACTTCGGGAAAGACTGAAGCGACCAAAATAAACGAGAATTTGAATCATTTGCAGGTGGAAACGAGCAACTCTATGGACAGTGGGAAGGAGAACACGTTGGAGAGACCCGCGCCTGTCCAGAAGTTGAAAGTTGGCAGACCCAGAAAGTCTTGGGGACCTAAGAAAGAGAGGGCGTCTAAGAGGTCCTTGAATAACGTGATTGGCATCCTCACGGAGGGAATGAACATACCTCAGGAGACTCAGCAAAGTGTCCTAAATGTCCAGGTAACCCTGAGCAACGTAGACTCTGGCGAGCCTCCCCAGAGTGGCACTCAGCAGCCTGATAACGAAGCTATTAGGTCGCAGAACGTTGATATCCCCAAAAACACTGTAGAACCATCCAACAACCCTGATCAGTCGGACAAGAAAACGAATTGCATAGAAAATACCTCGCAGGAAGATCCGAAGCAACTCGAGGCATCAGAGGAGACACCTTCCAGTGATCAGAACGCTGAGAAGCCTGAAGAAAGCAGCGAAAAGCTCGAGGTTTCCTCCAAAGACTCCAAAGAACAGTCACCAGCTAATGACATCATCCTAGACTTGTCCAGGAGGAAACAAAAAGGCAAAGGATCATTTTTGGAGAAGATTGTGTCAAAGATAGCTAAACAAAAGGACGCTTTGTTGGAAGGGGAGGTTGGCTCTCTGTTGGATACAGCTGCTGATGAACTCACCAGTATTCTGGACGAAGTTGGGCCTGGTTTCCCAGAGAACGCGGAGAATCCAAGCGAAACCAAGGACAGGATGAGAACAGAGAAGAAGGTTGAAGATAAACAAGATGTTGAAGAATCCACCGATGACACTCGACAGGATGTCAACGTTGATAGCGAGGAAACAGAGGTAATCCCAGAGAAGGTGCTTCCCGAGGAATTGGAGAATAACGTAGAGAAGCCTAGCCAAGAAGAGAAAGTGCCCAGTCCAGAAATTGTCAAGTCCCAAGATGACACTGCGTTGCCAAATGAAGATCCTGACATCAAGGAAATTCCTTCTTTGGCAGAGAAGGAAGCTCGCACCGATTCCTCCTCGCCGAGAATTCAAGAAGAAGTCGTTTCTGTCGAGACCAGTCCTGTTCTAAATGAAATTCAATTACCTGTCATAGAAAATGTTTCGAAACCTTCGGTAATTAACACCGCAGACGCGTCTTTGTTAAAAATGGGAGAGGAACCGACGAGAAAGCGCGAAGAGGTAGTGGAAGAAGTAAAAATCAAAAGGAGATCGAAGAAACGGTCATTGGAAGGGAAACCCCTCAGGAAGAACAAGAGAAAATCTATCGAACCGCTGAATAATTCCGAAGAGAATCTGATCTCCGAGGATCTGTATCTGGCCGACGTGATGAAACAAATTGAAAAATCAAAACAAGTGCCTTCTATCAAAGAAAATATTCAGACCAATTTGTCTTTCGAAACTAACGCGGACAAAGTGCAGTCTGATAGAAATAAGGGTGTCAGTGAGGAACCCGAAGCAAAGAATCCGACTGACAACAAAGTCGCGGATAATGATAAAATAAATGAAAATTCCGATGAAAATAAGCAGGAATCCAAAATTGATTCTGAGAAAGACGAAAGCGAAGATGTAAAGACAAACGAGAAAGCAGAAGAGATTATTCAAGCTGTAGGTATAACGAAGAGCAAAGAAGAAGTTGAAATAAATAATGAGGAAAAGAGCTCTTTGTCCTTAAGGATATCTGGAAAGAGAAAATCCTATGTAGAAATCCCGGTTCAGACTGAACATCCAATCAAGAGATCCTACAAGAGGAAATCACTGCAAGAGGAGAAGGTAAGTCAGCTTTCCGAAGAGGAGACAGTGTCCAAAATGGATTCCGTTGAAGCAAAGGAGCATCCTGTGGGCGCGGTGACGTCTGAGAATATTAAAGGACGAGGAAGAAGAAGGTCTTTCAGAACGAAATCCGTGGTTCAACCCAAGAACGAGGAAAAGCCTCAAAAGGAAATTGAAAATAACCCTGTCATCAGTATTAATAACGTCGCTTCAACTAAAAATGTTGAATCACCCTCGGAAAAGTGTCCTGAAAAATCTGAAACTGCGAACGATGAGACTCCAGAGCAAACGACTTCGTTGGATAATCCGAAAAAGTCAGAAGCAATTCCAGAAAACGTTTCCTTGGAGAACGCAGAGACTCAAATAACAAACAAAGAGAAAGTCGCTGAAAATCCTCCAGCAATCGAGCCAGAGAAGGTTGAACAGCCCCCAGTTGCACCCAAAGTACCAAAAAAGCGCGGGAGGAAGAAGAAATGCTTGGTAGACCAAACGCAGGCACAAGGCTCTTCTCAAGAAAATAATTGCGTTACAGGACACGAATCAGTCACGACATATCAGCTTCCCCCAAGAAGATCGCTAAGAACGTGCAGATTCAACGAGGAGCTCGAGAACCAGAGCAAGAACTTCAACAGTCTGACTAATCCTCAGGTATCTTCGCAAAACTTGGAGCAGTTCAAGGTTCCAGAGGTGAGCGAGGTTCTGCAACACACGAAGAAAAGAACCTACAAGAGAAGATCGACTACCGACGAGAACTCGGACACCCAGAACAGTTACACTCCAACGGAGCCCGAAGTGAACAGCGTGGAATCTCCGGAGCCAAGCAAGAGCTTGGAAAAGGAGGAACAGCAAGAAAACTCTTATCAGAAAAATTGCTCCGAAGGTCGAAAACGTTTCTCCCGAAGTTCCACTCGCAAGCAATCGGATCTTGAGAGATCGAGTTCCTCTGGCTCCATTGGTTTGACCCAGATTAATAGAACGAGATCATCGAAGAGGAAGCAGTTCACCTCGGAGGACCTGTCAGGCCGTGAGAGCCTGAACCAACGAGCCGAGAGTACGGATAATCTGTCAGAGACATCGTGCGTGAGTGAGTCCAGCTACTTCAGGAAGAAACGCTTCTCTAAGAAGAAGAAGGAACTTCAGAAGACATCGGAAAACGTGCAGACGTCCGTCACCGACCTAGACTCTGCCAATACGGAGAAGAGCACGGATAGAAGGCAGAGCTTGAACAGGAGGGCGAAGAAAAATATATCCTTCTTCGCGGAATTCTATCTGATGGACGAATTCGACATTTCAATGGACATCCAAGATTGCGCGCCTCAAAAGGACAACACTGCAAGGGACAGTGCCAGTCCGAAATTGACAGCCGAGTTGCCAGCCGCGGAGGACAAACTGGAAGAAGCTAGCTCGACTGAAGTTTGTAATCAGAAACCAGAGGAGGACGTTGGAAAGCAGGACGAAGAACTACCCGAAGCTCTGAAGAAGTTCGATATAGAGTTCGAAGGGGAAGATGTGGAAGATGTGTTGAAATTGGATATGAAGTTGGACAGTTTGTTACAGGTCCAAGACGATTTCAAGCTGTCAACTGTGGAGGATAAGCTGGCTGAAGAAGCTGCTTCGAATGAAATGTTTAATGAACAGCCTGAAGAGGAAGCTACGAAGCCAGACGAGGAAGTAGCTGAAGCTTTAAACAAATTTGACATAGGGTTTGAAGAAGTTGACGAGGAACCTAAACTGCCAACTGTGGAGGATCAGCTGAACGACGAAGTTAGCTCGAATGAAATATTCGATCAACAGCCTGAAGAAGATGCTACGGAAAAGAACGAAGAAGTAGCCGAAGCTTTCAAAAAATTAGATATAGAGGCTGAAGAGGAAGAGAAGGTCGACGAGGAACCTAAGCTACAAGCTGTGGAAGATAAACTGACGAAGGAAGCTGATTTGACTGAAATTTTTAATCAAGAAACGGAAGAGGACGCGACTAAACAGGACGATGAGCTGCCTGAAGCTCTGAAGAAGTACGATATAGAGTTCGAGGAGGACGACGATGACGAGGACGAACTGAAATTGGACATGAAGCTTGACAGCTTCCTGCAAACTCAAGACGACTTTCAGGCTCCAAAGAAGAGGACAGCTGGTAATTACGTGGTGGTTCATAAGACAACAGGGGAAATCCTGATCGTGGAAAAGAGGAAAAAATTGACGAAAGAGGCTGCCAAGTTTTTCTGCGATGTCTGCACTACCAGCTTCACCAGGAAGAGTTCTCTGAAGAAGCATAACCAGTCTCAATCGCATTTAATCCAAATGGCCAAGTCCAAGAAGGATAAGACGTCTGTAGGGGACTGTGAGAACATGGATGACACTTGCAGCATTGGTCAGAATGATATTTCCAGCGACGAAAACAGAAGCTTAACCGATGAGGTAATGAACGTGTCCATAGACTCCAAGGATGAACATAAAGAGGTGGATTCCTCGGCATCCAGCATTAATCAGAAGGAACTAGAACCAGTCCAGAACGATCTTTGTTTCACTAGCCCGCTACAGCAGGACTCCTTGATGGATGCTCAGTCTACTCATCAGCATATCCTCGAAGACGAATTGTTGGACGAGGAAATTTGCAAGATCACCGAAAATATGAGCCACGATGAATATGTTCTGACAGATCAAGTGAGTCCCGAGCCAGAATCCACGTCCACGCCTATAAAAATGGACACCAAGAAGCTGGAGGAAATTGGAAAGAAGAGCGCGAGGAAACACGAGAAGAAGAAGGAAAAGTCGAAGAAGAAGAACCTAATCGATAAGCAAATCATCCTGGACAGTCCTGAGTTGCAAACCTCTACAGACTCAACGTTGGTAACTGTTCTAAATTCGAATATGTCTATTAAAATTTCAAAGGTCCCACACTCGAATATCCCAGAGCCTAACGCAGACAAGGGTATTTTAAATGATTCACTTGTAGATTCTGGTGCGAGCAATATAGAACTAGCAGCGGATATTTCCGAAGCGAAAGAAAATAGCTTCCAAGCGGACTGTTCAGAGTGTGTTCCAAGGCTGCAAGGAAGCCAGGACGTGGACATGGAAGTGGAGGATGCTCTGCGGACGGAGATAAACAAAATCGTAGAAGACGATAGCATATACAAATTAGATTCCGAGGACAAGACTGAGAATTTTTCAAGAGTTAGGTTAAACGATAAAGACAGCGAGGAAAGTCAGCCTCACGAACGTTTGAGCTTGAAGTTCACCATAAATAAACGTAGTATAGAAGCTTGTAAGGAAGTCGATAAGAACAATAGTAATTTCCAAGTAAGTTATTCGAGCACGCTCGAAAGAGGATCCGAGAGCATTAATTGCAATTCTGAGAATGATTATGAGAATATATGCGGCGTACAAGTTGAACCCCTCGAACAATGGAGCTATTCTAAATTAGAAATTGATGAATTTAATCAAGACTCGAGTCCCAATTTACTCGATAGCAAAGAAAGTAGGAGTCCGGAAGACGTCAAAGAACTGGAAGTTTCCAAAGTACAAAACCTTGCTGAAGAAAGTATGAAAGAGAGTCATATGGAGCTGGATGACGAAAGTGATCAGCAAACTCCTGTCATCGACGATAGAGTTCAAAACGAGAGACAGAACGAACCAGTGAAACGTCATGGAAAATCAAGGAGAGGCAGAACCAAAAGACACCTAGAAGAGGTTGAGAATGGCTCAGAGAATAGAATAACGAGTAATCAAAAATCAGTTGACTGTTCTGAAACATTTAGTATGAACGAAAAGTTAGAGTGTTCGGTATCTGAACCACAATTCAATAGCGATTCTACTAAGAATAGTGACGATGCTAGCTCTGAAATATTAGAAAATGAAAATGAAAACGAAAATGAAAATGAAAATGAAAACGAAAATGAAAATGAAAATGAAAATGAAAATGAAAATGAAAATGAAAATGAACCTGAACATGAACATGAACATGAACATGAACATGAATATGAATATGAATATGAATATGAACATGAACCTGAACCTGAACATGAACATGAACATGAACATGACAATGAGAATGAGAATGACAATGATAATGATAATGATAATGAGAATGAGAATGAGAATGAAAATGATTCTAACAGATCAGAAATTATAGATGAACCAGAGATGAGGAAGTTTTCTGAGTCTTTGGAGGAGACTGTCAACTTGGAACATTCAGAACATTCTGGACAGGAACATTTCTCTTCTGACGAGAGGACCGAGTCATCGGAGGAAAAGATCGAGTCGTTCCATTCTATGGACGACGACGAAGCCTCGTCATCGTCCAGTCTAGCAGACAAACCTTTGTCACAGATCCTATTAGAGAGAGAGGAGAAGCTGGAAGCGTACAAGAATCAGATAAAGGAACGAGAGTCTTCCACGCCGAAGGATCCCGACGATGAACGGAACCCCGAGGAGGAATCGGGGATGAACAATATCTACTCTGAAGCCAACGAATGTGATATCGACGAGAATTCTTTAGACGCTAACGAATCAATTGACACTCGGAAGTTCGATGACAAGAAGTTGACGGACGATGAGCAGGCTGAACTGCAGATCGCGTCGGAGGAAGAATGCTCGAACGAGGAAGAAAGCTCGAAGACGATGAGAGACTGTGACAAATACTCCAAGATCTCGTCGGAGTCTGACAACAGCGAAGCAATCCCGCCGGTAAAGAATGTTTCAACTGACAAAGAGTCTCGAGACACGATAGAGCCGAAAGTAGTCAGCAGTAGCCGCAAATCGAGCACCAGTGATCGTCAGAGTTCGAGCAAGAAGGTGTCGAGGAGTCACAAAAGTTCGAATAAAGACAGCCATAAGAGATCGAGGAGTAAGAAGAACTCTATAAGAGCCGAAATCGCTATTCTAACCAGCGAGAGCGATGACAGCGAGAACGAGGACAAAATCGAGTCTCAGAATAAGAGCAAGATAGTGAAAAGCGTGTTTGGCAGAGTTTTCGGCGGCGAGAAGACGGATAAAGTGAAAGAAGTGCTAAATGACTGGGTATCCAAATCGGAGGATGATTCAGACGTCTCTAGGACAGGCTTCAGATCTTCCAGCTCCAACGAAGTGAAGATTAAAGAACACTCGGTTGATAAGAACGCGAAGAGACACTCGGTTTCGTCGTCCATACCTTCTAGTCCTAAGAAACGTTCCGGGAAGAGGTCAAAGAAAAGCTGCTCCTCGGACAGAGCCAAAGAGAAGAACCTAATCTACGAGAACCAGGGCGAGCATCGTTCTGGAAAACACGCCAAGTCGAAGAACAGCTCTAACCGGAAGAAGTACGACACAGACGCGTCGAACGGCTGTTTCCTGTTCCTACCATCGACCAAGTGCAGACTGAGCAAAAAGAGGGCGGAAGAATTAATCTCCAGGACCTTCGAGGACGATTTCTTCGACAGCAACGTGAACAAGAGTCAGAGATCATTGAAACACAAGGAACCAAACTATGGGCTGAGAAATCAAGGCAAACCTGACCTGTCCATCAAGGATAGTGGATATGGATCCTTCAACTACGACGAGGATTCTTCCAAAATGGGTCTCTTGGAGAACTCGATGGAAGATGATCAAAGAACTGGCAAGAGGAGAAAATTATCGTCTTCTAGAAAGAGCAAAGACAAAAACAACGAGGAGACTTGGAAGGATCCGATGACGGATAAAAAGGCTTCAAAGAATTCCAAAGAGTCGGGCAACGAGGACAGTTTGAACAAGGATCTTCCTGAAAGGGAACCCCTAGCTAACAGACTCTCGGTCGACCTTGAATCTTCCCATAGCTGCAGCAGCCTGGCACCCAGTAGCGTGAGGAATAGGTCTCCAAGCATGGACAGAAACTCGCAGACCACCAGGGACACTGACATAAACGATGAGGATGGTGAGGACATGGGTCACCGACGGATATCCCCTTTGTTCATCTGCGGAACACCCAGGAGCTACGCGGAGGACAGCTCTAACAGTGAAAACGAAGAGGAAGATGAGAACTTGACTGTCAACGAAACTGCGAGTAGGAAGAGGAGTTCCAGCGAGTTCTCTGGTGAGAAAATCGTGATTAGGTCGCCTTCTTCGACCCACAAAGGCGAAGTGGTCACCATTGCACCAACTGACGCCATTGAGGACAATGCCTTGGACGTGCCGCAAGAGATAGAGGCAACGAAACCTAGACAGGGCAAAGTTCTGAACTTCGACGAGGAGCTGTTTGTTGAGTGTTGCTCTAGGTTGAAAGCCACCACTGAGAACGAGCTCAGAGGTGCTAAGAAGATCAAGTTGGATCATAATGAGGGTTATCATAAGAAGGATGATCAACAGCAAGGGTTTAGGGGACCCAGGGATCGATGGAGGGATGTGGAGAGCCAAAATAGTCTGGGAAGTCTGTTGGAGTCCGTAAACCAGGTGAGTATTTGCTCATAATATTCGAATTTTTGCATGCTTGTCGAGATCATTGTTTCAGGGGCTGTAATAAAAATGGTAGAATTTATAAGAGGTAAAAATCGGCTTTCTCGACACCTGCGTTCGATTAACATTGAGGAATACGAAACGAATAACGACAATGTTGCTTCGTGTATTAACAATCGTTGAAATTCTTCTTTTTATTTCGAGTGTAATACCATTTTTCGATGCATGGCTTTGTTAACGCACATTTTATGTAGACTTTTCTCGTCAGCTGACGGTAATGTTTGTTCAAAATTAAGTTGGGTATCTTGTGTAAAAATTGGAAGAAGTAAATATGGAGATTGATAGGAGATACGAGTAAAAGATTTTTGAAAATTCATTCGAAGTAACACACGGTAAGTCGAATGTACATTTTCTAACAAAATACGTAACATTTACTATGGCTTCCATTTGCGAAATTCTTTTGATACATTGTATAACACTTCATCGATAAATCTACACTTTGCATGCAATCTGCTTTCTTTCATTTTTTTTTTTTATTTCTTTCTTGTTTTCGAATTCGCTTAGCAATCTTATCTTACGTGTTGTATGCTCTAGTTTAAAAAGTACAGCTTTAAAGCTCACGTCTGCAGATTTCGTTTTCTTTTATACATACTCACGGAATTTTTATCTGTAGGGGTGTTTCCTGAACGACAATTATAGCTGTAATAAGATACGAACGAAAACACGAATTTTTCTAATCCCGTTTAGAAAGTTGAAAGAGGGAAAAAGAGTCCACGTAATTGTAACAATTAATAACAAAAAGACGTATATAAATTTATATAAATTATCAAGCGATCGATGTATTTTAGTAAATTTCTCATTAGCATTGGATTTTAAGTAATTTTGTTTCTTTTTGGTAACACCAGATTTGATATCACGCTTATAGTATAATTAAATTGTTATTTACGTATTCCAGAAATAAGGTTTCGATAATAAAATGGATTACACCCTTACACGGAATTCCAAGAAGGGAATACTCTATACATTATTGTGGTAATGTTTGCAGGACCTATGAACCAGCTTTATACAGACAATGTCTCTCTCAGTATGCATGCAAAAGGTAGTTCTCTCATTCCTTCGACATTTCTTAGTGTGTACGAAACTTGTTCCTCCCTTCAAAACGTTTAATGTCTTCCATAAAAATGCAAGTAACCAATGCTGAGCATTACTAAATGATTCTTATTCTACAGATTTTTATTCTATCTTCAGTTGCGTTATCTCTTACAAAATTAATTTCCTCTCTCTCTCTCTCTCTCTCTGTCTCGAAAAAAAAAAAAAAAAAAAAAAAAAAAAAAAAAAAAAAACCCATCTGTCTAAAAAAAAAAAAAAAAAAAAAAGAAAAAAAAACGAAAAATTAAGCTTTTCCTTTTCTCAGTAGAAAAAAGTTCAGCTTAGCATTACTAACACTATCCGTTCATATTAATATTACTTGCACAAGTACAAAAAACTCCCTTACTCGTCCCGAAGAATGTATCTCCCTGCTCAAAATAATTAAAAAAGAAAAAAAAAAAGAAAAAAAGAAAAGAAAAAGAATTGTTCTTACCATCGGTAGATTTAATATTACTGATCAATGTGTACCCTGTGAAAGTACCTAGGAGTTAACGTAGATAATCATGCTGCCTGCTGCAAAGCGGCCCATTTTAAGTTCCACCGGTAGTGCCAAGTGTCTCGCAGTTGCTCTATATATCCGATTAAATTCCGTGTATAAGGTGATTAAAGTGCCACTGGTCTGGCATTTACTCTCAAATGGTCCACTTTGTGCAAGCATGCATTTTGCAGAAAGCAAAAGCTACTATAAGGTACCCAAACTCTGATTGAAAAAGCCGTCCGGCACTACCATCGCGATCACTGTTCACGAGTCTGATCCGTTTCAGTTACTGGGCGAGGAGGTGTACAGTACCAGGGAAAGGGATTACCCGAAACGGGGCGGTAGAAATCCGAGAAGCGAACACTCCAGCAGATCGGTCAGCCCTGACATATCCAAAGCCGACAACCTGGGCTACGAGGATAGTCTGGATGTTGCGTTCGAGCATAACAACAAGCTCAGGGACAAGATCCAGCAGCGCATGAGGGAGAGCGAAAGTCTGATAGCCAGCACGTTCAGCCAGAAGAACAGCAATGACATTGTGCGTGGGCATCATCCTTCCAAGAATAACGAACGGGACACCCTGAGAAATTCATATTCTAATCTCCAGGGTCAGAGACACCTGTCGAGTGCAAATCTGTCGAACGGGGGCTACAATGACTCTGTACATGTCGGGGAACTGCGGGAAGAACAGGCCACTGGGAAGATGAACCTAGATTCCTCGAGTCTGAAGGGCAAAATGAACTCGTCATTGGGTGGTTTACTAGACAAGGCATTGTCCAACTTACTGCATAGCAATGAAAAGCATGATCACAAGTGAGTAACTTCACGTGCATATACTGCTCCCCGGATTAGTGATCGTGAAACAGAGTACAGTCGTGATCATTTAACAGGGGTAGGTTAACACTTTGACTGCCACGTTGGTCATATATGACCGGCCACGGTTTCTCCTGTGACGCCATGGTGGTCATTGGTGACCGTAGCGCTTGAACTACTTGAACTACATTGGAACTACATTGAATGAAAATTGACAGTTACTGCATTTCGAATATAGCCGCTAATTAGAAGATACTTTGAAATAAAAAGTGCCCCATTGAACAATTAAAAATTTTTATTAGAACATCGAAAACATATTAGAACAAATCTTGCATCTAGCGGTACACTCCCGTGGCGTCCTGAGGGAAACTTGTGATTTCGGCGTGGCTGTCAAGGGGTTAATACATTGACTGCCATGGTGGTCATCAGTGATGTGCTTGCCATTCAAAGATGAGTCTACTAATTTTTAAGCAGTTCCTCGGATTTGAAACTAGATTTGCTAGAAAAGTTTGACTATGCCAAAATAGGTCCAATATTTTTCCTAATACGGTGCTTGTCTCCTCAGTGGGACTATGGTGGTCACGAATATCCGACAATACTAATTTTTTAAATTATAAAATTAATACTAATATTTAAAATTAAAATTTAACACTTTAAATACAATAGAAGACGTTAATAATTTGCACCATTTTTATTTTGCCATATATTGTTTAACAATTCGTCACTATATCGTAAGAATAATGGAAATTTTTGGAATATCGTGGCCCCCTTGAGCACACCATATAAACAGTGGCAGTCAAAGTGTTAATTCAAAGGTCTAACCGAGAATTCTTCAAGTAGTTATATTTCGAAAAAGGATCGTCACTTATTCAAAGATGAGTCTACTAATTTTTAAGCAGTTCCTCGAATTTGAAACTAGATTTGCTAGAAAAGTTTGACTATGCCAAAATAGGTCCAATATTTTTCCTAATATATCCTGTACACCGAAGTTAATTGGTACTCGACAGATTTTCGCAAGCAATTTAACATAGTTTGATAAACGCTTTACAGAGGAAAAATGATTGCAGAGTACGTCTGTCAATTGTTTATTTCGCTGAACGAAGTGGCTATCTCATGCAGAAAAAATTGGGATTCGTACAGTAGGTCGAATATCAACGCTAGTTTTTTATTTCCACACCTGTTGATTTTGCCTTTGATCGGCCACGTTATAATTCCTTGTTTTTATTCGACAAATCATTCTGCCATTGTGAAATTCCGCTGAACACTGGTGGAATCTGATTCCAATCCTAAATCCAGCTTTTATCATCCAGCAGACTGTGTGTATCTATCGCTAAATACTTCCAAATAATTTCCAAACCTAAAATCTCGATTTTCAGTTTCCATATACTCCATCAATTTTTGAAAATTGTTAAATAATCGGTGGGTACTTGGAGCTCGAAATTTGTATTCCTCGGTTTAATATACTGCCACCTCCTAGAGAGATCTAAGAATCCTAGATCTTCGAGAGTTCCGTCAGCAGTCGAATGTTTTCACGAGGCCCTAACTTCTGGAGTCTGAACACTGTCTAGAATCTTGAATCGAACGTTGAAACATAGTCATATCTGTAAATAAGAAGACTTCGGTCTCGTTGAGTGGTTTCCTATTCGTTCGTGTTATGTATTGATCTCAGCCCATCACTCCACCCACCCACGACAAAGTATCTCTACATAACAGCGACAGGAATATATGTTTTGATGCTCGTTGTTTGGTCAAACAACGATTCAAAATCAATGGAAGAACCGGTTGGTGAAGCATGCCTTTCATTAGGTGGGCGTGATAATTTCATGGCTCAAAACAGAAAGAGAGCAGAAGGATAAAGTTGTTTCAGCAGTCTGCAGACCTATTACTACGCAATAGACATACTGATATATAAATTGATCCTTATGAATAATATCAATTTATATATCAGATGGAATTTAGGATTGAGAGTCTTTTCTACAAAAATTTTCGTACATCAGTCTCCTGACTGTATAAGTATAATGATCAATTAGAGTTTTAAAAATAAGAATTTTAGTAAAAAGAGATGTGAGGTTTTCGTAACTTTTATTTTTAACCTTTATTCTTCTGCAACTGATGATCAGCAGAAAAATAGAAAGAAAGATGAAGTACCTAGGGAAAATGTTAATTTTTTAATGTCATCTAGAGAAGAAATATGTATCACTTATCGATTTATGTGTTAATTTATTAATTTCACTGTTTTGATCTATTAATTTCAGTGGATCCACGCCAATGAAAGTTCTGGCAGAGCTGGCATGTGCACGAGCCCCAACATCCACAGCTGGGGAACAAGTATCCCAGGAAGTGATGCAACCCGTGAAGACTTCTTTAAATAAAGATTCACCACCAAGCGCGAGTTCCTTAGCCATGCCCAAAGAGGTGCAGAAAAAATCTAGAAACCCTATCAAGGAACTTTTCGAGAGGAAGAAGGAGATGAACGAAAGGAAACAACAGGAAAAGTCGAAGACAGAGGCAGCCCTTCGAGAACTAAATGCACACAGACAACGTAAAACTAAGAAGACCAAGAAGCACCAGGACTTCCCTCTGATCCGTCGTAACGAACATGGAGGTCTAGTCGAAAGGAAGAAACGTCGTGATGGATTTGAAAGAAAAGAGGAATTCGTTTCAAATAGGATTAAAGACGTGTATGAGTTCGACGAGGAAGAGAGTCAAATAGAACCTAATTTGCGCAGTGTTTTGTCTTACAGGAGCAAACCAGGCTATGAAGTTAGCTGTTTGAAGACTAAAGAGGTGGATGTGGCTAGATTAATGTCCAAAGCCATTGGAGATAGTTTAGAGAATGGGAAAGCTGGCGATGCCTTGAGTACCAGATTGGAGTCCATAATCGACCGGAAGTTGAAGGAACTGGAGAAATTTGCTCCAAAAACCAAGGGTGCTTTGAAGGCCTTTCAGGGAGAAGAGCAACAACGACATGTCACTGGACCTATGGACGAGTTTGTAGAAAGGAAGCAGACAAAAGGCAAAAGAACCATGGAGCCATCTTTGAAACATTCGAAGCTGAAAAAGCGTACCAAAAATCCTAAGAAGAAGACTAGAAACGCTTGGTACGAGAACGACAGCTCTGATGAGTACAGAACTGTAGTAAAGACTGAGGATGTGGGTGTAGGTATATCAAAGAGTCAGAGAACATGCTCGAAGGGAAAACAGAATATTTTTGCAGAGTTGTACACTTCGTCGGAAAGTGAGTTTGAGGATGGAGATGTGAACTATGAGTCCAGAAGGCAGAGAAAAGTACAGAACAGCAAACCGGCAACAGAATTAGAAAACGTGGAACAGAATGAAGAATTGGTTAATAAGTATTCTTCCGATAACGAAGATCACGTAGACGATTGGAGCAATCAGAGTTCGAAAAATGACGTTACTAAGCATGATTGTGATAACAAGAAATCCGAATCGGAGATGTCAGATCATCCTTTGGTTATCGATGAAAAGAAAGACGTGGACGAACAAAGAAACAGTGACGATGAAACTGAAAATCAGTATGAACGGAACTATGAAATGGATGATTTATATAGAGAAGACAGCTCCATCGTCGATTCAGACGCAGAAGAGCCAGTATCTACAGAAGCACCAAAAGCTCCAGAAGAGTTCAGGGCAAAAAGTCCAAGCTTGCCGCGAGAAAAGACTGATATTAAAACAAACTACATACGAGAGAACGAATTGATTCCACTAGAGGAAGCTCTAGATCTTCTAGATCAAGCTGACAATGAAGGTATTTTAGAGACAAACTATGATAACATAACTAGAACCATCCAGCCTGTAGAGCATTTGAACACAGTGATAACAACAGAACCTGAGAAGGAAACATTCGATCCTATCGAGGAATCAATAACAAAGTCTCCTACTCCTACAGAGGAACAGGAAGAGGAACCTGATAATGATCTCTTAGCCTTACCAGAAAAATTGTCGAGTAATGAGAAACCGTTAAAAGAATCTGAAAATCTTCCCCTGCATGTGTTTCTGAGTAGAAAGGTGCAAGAGTCGAAAAAGAGAAAGGAACAACAATTGAAGAAAATACAGGAAGAGCAACAAAGGATACTGATGGACTTTCAGCCTACTAGAAGACAAAGAAAATGCGCTATTGGAAAACAGGGACTGCTGGCAGAAATAAGTAGTTCTGACGAAGAAATAAGTCCAAGAGATAGGAGAGTCAGTGAAAAGTCGGATCACGATAAAGCAAGAAAACAAAAGAGGGAATCAAAGGAGAAAAGGAAAGAAAGATATATAGAGAAGAAACATGAACAGATGATAGCCAAAGAACAAAAAGCCATCGAGGAAGAAATTCTCAGGGAGATTGGGAAAAAGAAAGAATCTTTTGGACAAAATATCGAGGATGTCAGGGCGGACGTCATTGATACAAAGGAATCAGAGAATGCAGAAGCAGTAGAGAACAAAGTGTCACAAGAATCAGCAAAAAAAAAGAAGCATCAACCTAAAGAGAAACAAAAAAAACAGAACAAAACAGATGGAGACGTTTATATCAAGAACAACCACGAAGGACTGAGTGATTTAGAGAACAACTACAACAAATCCACGCTGTTGGAAATCAGTCACGAAAGCGAGAATAACCAGGAATCTTCTATAAAGCAGAAGAAACACTGTAAGTCTCCAATAAAACCAAAAAAGACTCTAAAATCAGACCAGAAAGTTACGGCAGGTAAAAGAAGCAAAAGTTCGAACGTTGATAAGAAGAACAAAACAGATTCAAAGGGATCAAAGGACAAAGAACGTAGGTCGTCTAGTGGCAAACGAGATTCTGATGACGAGGAGCTAAAGACGACCAAGTCTTGGAATAAAGTTGAAGAAGGAGTCGGAGTGGCAATTGGTCGACGGAAACGAGCAGCTGCTAATCAATTGTATTATTGGTCCAGTTCAAGCGATGAAGAGGAAATGCTGGAAGTGGTCCCGGCAGTCGAGGAGGAGGAAGACGATCGTCAAGAACAACATGGCTGGATTGTTGGTGATTCTCACAAGAGAATGATCACTATGCTCGCTATGGAGAAACAGCTGAAAGAGAAACGACGAAGAAGCGAAGATGAATTTGAACCTGGCAGGTCGAAGAGTAAAAAACACAGAAACAGTACCTCTTGATACGTATTTCACGACTAATTTCGTCGAAATGATTAGGAAAAAATTCGTGTTATAGGGACAGATATTGTGACTAGGTACCTCAAACTGATTAGAAATATGTTGATGAATGCAGAGTGCTTTTTCTAAAATCCGGGACATAACTGGATAACTCGTAGAATTTGAATGACAGTATAAGAACTGCAATTCATGATACATGATGGTTTGTAACTAGAGTTATCGCAGTAATTGGAAA